AGATACTAAGTATGGGAATCAGATCGACAGAAATTAATTGGAGCAGGGAGAAGTATGTCAAGAGAGCAAGCAGGTGAAAAGGGCAACCTGGCAATTGTCCACTGCCCACAGCTAACTTTATTACGTACCTTTCAGGTCTCACTTGCAGCTTACTTGCTCAGGGATAAGATAAGATGACCACTATATCTAGAGCAACTTCCATTCACTTTTAAAATCAATAGCATAGATTTCTTTCTTTCTTTGCACTTAGTACAATTTTTACTTATCTGTCATTTACTTGTTTATTAATTATTTTCCTCTGTCAATTGTAAGTCCTCTGGGGTCAGGAGCCATGTCTATTTGTTTATTCCCAGAGTTCTCACAGATCACAGAATAGTTGGTGGTCAAGAAGTATTTCTTGAAAAAGCAGATGGGTAGGTGCTGATGGTCTTTAAAAGGCAATCTTATGAGACTGTCACTCCAAAGCAGGAGATCTTATTTGTCTTGCTCTCCTTAGTGTCTAGATGCTTAGTAGCTGGAACCTTGCAAGAATTTAATAAGTACTTTAGATTCACCTTAAAATCCTTGCATACATAAACCAGGAGCTTCTGATTTTTTTCCATTTTGTAGGTGCATATGCGTTTATTTTCCAAATCAAGGTACATTTTAATGGATTCTAAGATTATTTTCTTTATACTCCCTTTGTTAGTATAGCATAATAATGTAAGTTATTTCTCTCTTATGACTTTCCAGGCAGTTTCTGAGCAAATATTCAATGAATCCTTTGTTTCTCAATCAGATGGTATTTGGTGAATAAAACTGTGAGTACCACTGTGAGAGGCATTCCCTTTTTAAAGATGAAATTATGGGGAGTTCACATAGTTTCTCATTGACAGACATATTTTAAACTCACCAGGATTCTTAAAAAAATAAAAGCTAACATTTGTAAACTGGAAAAGAAGCCTGTGATTCATTTCAAACTAGAAAAATCAAATTAAATTTTCCTGGTTTTGTTCCTGGTGTGTTGGTTCATTTCTGGGTATTCTGACTATATTATATTATTCTCCATAATATACATATAGATAAGTGTGTGTGTGTGTGTGTATTAGAGTTTTCTCTTCCCGCAAGAAGCTGATAATATAGCAGGAGAGAGATCAATCAAACAGCCCTAACAAATACCACAAGAGGCCAGCATGTAAGTGAAATAAGCCAGTCAGAGAAAGACAAATAATCTCAATTATTTGTGGAATATAATGAACAAAATAAACTGATGAACAAAACAGATCCAGGGACACTGAAGAAGGGAACAGACCTCAGAGGAGGGGGGTGGGGATTAGGGGATGGAAGAGATAAACCAAAGAACTTATATGAATATATGCATAACCAATGGACACAGACAACAGTGAGGGGAAGGTGGGAACAGGGAGGAGGGTGTCAATAGGGAATAAAAAGAAGGGCCATCTGTAATACTTTCAACAATAAAGAAAAAAATGGTAACAATAAATAAATAAAATAGGGGAAAAAGAGGCCAGCATGGTCCAAAATGTGATAGAAACAGAGAACAAGGAAAGGTTGATCACTGCTCATTGATATGATTAGTGAATGCCTCATGGAGAAGGTAGCATTTTAGGTGGGTCTTAAAATGGGTTTGTTTCAGTAGCTATTATGATATGAATGATATGGAACATTTTATATATATGCTGATTGGACAGAACCAGAAATTCAAAAAGCCATTTTCAATATCCCTATGTGTTGTTACTAATGTCAAGGAAAGCTTACTTGGGAAGTCAGAAGTTTCAAGTTTCAGTTCTTAAAAGATCAATATAGAGATGGAGATGGAGATAAGTCTTAAAAGATCTTTAAAAATTAAAATGTATTTGTGAATTTTGTGTAATTAATGAGGTACTAATGTCAAGGAACGCTTAGTTGGGAAGTCAGAAGTTTCAAGTTTCAGTTCTTAAAAGATCGATATATATAGATGATATAGATATAAATATAGATATAGATAGGTCTTAAAAGATCTTTAAATATTAAAATGTGTTTGTAAATTTTGCGTAAAGAATTTGACAAAACAGCATTTTCAAAACATTTTGATAAGCATTGTTTTCACTTATTTTAAAAGTGAAAAAAGGTTAATCAACCATCCCAATTTTCTAACTGGTAGGCAGCAGAGAGGGGACTCCACCCCACATTTCCCACTTTGGTCTCGTTTTCTTGCCACCATACATATAAAATAGTATGGATTATCCTATTACAGTTTACATATTTCTGCTTGCCAAACTTTGAATTTCATTTAAAAAAAATTAATAAAAATAAATCTCCCATCTCCCACTCCAAAAAAAAAAAAAAAAGATGGGGCAAAGTTCGCAGTGGGTACACTTTCAAACTGTTATTGAGAAAAAATTTTAATGATAACAATTCATATTTTTGAACACTTACTTTACACCAGGAACTTTTAAAAGGGGTCATTTCATTTAATCGGCCCTATGAGGCAGGCATTATTAGTAATGTGTCTTTTACAAATAAAGAAGCTGAGGCGAGTTTCATTAAAAACTCGGTCACAATCACCCAGCTGGTGCAGTGGGGCCTGGAATCAACAGAGCTCGCGTCCTCGCCCACTGAGCCAGGACCACACTGCAGACGAAGACCACGTCCACCAAGCGCGGGCTGCGCGGGCTCCATCCCACCGTATCCGTGCTTAGTCTCCATCCCGCCACTGCCACCGCCCAGGCCTCTGGGAGCCTACTTACAAGTTACTTGAATACATAAGGGTTATTGCTCGTTCAGTGGTGCTCACTGCTCAAAACTAGAACCACTGTGACGTGTTCTCCGGTGGGGGTGGTTATCGACCTGGCAGAGGGACACTGGGTGGAAACCAGATGGAAATCCCGAAGGCGCAGTCGATGCCAGGAGAGCCGGGGTCAAGGGGGCAGGGGGCAGGGGGGCCCGGGGCCAGAGGAGGGCGGACCCTTCGTCGGGGGCCCTGCTTCCGGGCGGACAGCAATCGCGGTGGGACCGGCCCCCGCGGAGGAGACCCCCGCCGGCAGGAACCGGAGCCGCTGCAGCGACACTGGGGGCCCCTGTGCTGCGAACTCGAGTTCCCGCTCTCCCCGCGGGCAGTCCCGTTCCCCCGCCTCACAGCCTCCGCGGTCGCAGGCGGGTTTGGCCCGGGCGCTTCTGTCCGGCCTGCGGTGCTCGGTGCGCCTTCGAGTTGGCTCCTGAGGGCGCGGGTGGAGGGGCCGGGCGCCCGGTTCAGGGCCGAGCGCGGCGGCGGGGGGCGCCGTGGGGGGAAAGAGGCGCCGCTGGCCCGACTGTCCTCCAGGCCGAGGGCCTGGCTGAGGACGGACGGAAGCAGCAGGCAGGTGGAGGCCCAGGAGGGGAGTGGGACGGCCGCCGCCCGTGGGAGGGCTGACGACGGTCTTGTGGGGCACGGGCCCTCTCTGCGCCTCGCCAGGGGGCGCACGAGCACCAAGCAGTCACCTCGCGGCTGGAGAGGCCGGCGTCCTCGCGAGGGCGGGGCGGGGCGGGGCGGGGCGGGGCGGGGCCGGCCGGGGGCGGGGCGGACGCTCCAGGGTCCCGTCTGGGGAAAGCAACCGGAAGAAGACAGTTAGGCTCCAGTGAAAGTGAGTTTAGTTCAGGAGCCACGGTCCGAGACAAAACCCTTGTAGACATCATTATTGTTCTAATTGTTAGGAGCCAACAAGAAAAAAAAAAAAAAAGGAGGGAGGATTTTGCATAAACTATTTCAGATGATCATATAGTTCTATTAATAACAGCATATCAAATAGTGATGATTTTTACATTTTATACCAAGAGGAATTTTACTGTATTTATCTTGGGATGATGATCCGATCATTGTCCTCCCTTAAGGGTCAAGTTTTAACTATTTAGGGGTTTTATATGGAGTTTTACTTGTATATGTGATACACAGAATAATAATGCAATAAACTAAATATCCAGCTGAAATTCTCTCAGATTTAAAAACTACTAACAGTTGTTCATGGAATATAGTATTTAAAAGAGGAAAGAAATGGGGTATTTTGATGAAGAAAATTATCAAGCACTGTTTTGAGTTTTGGCGTGCCTCATTTTAAACAATAATGTGCTCCTAAAATTACATTGATTAATTACTTAAGAGATTTTACTCACCTTTGACTTGGGCCTAGTTGCCACTGCCGTGTTCAGACGTCATGCCGTGGCACAGGCTCTTGTCTCAATCCAGAACGCCTACGGTTCAAACTTGCATTTTTTCCTTCCTCTTTGCTAGCGAGAAGTCTAAACACAAGTGTCTAATACAATACTTTTAGATTGTATTATTCTTGATTTTTCTAGACACTCTGCCACCCCCAAATGTAAGTGCTGGCTGGTTTGCAAAAGTCAATTTCTCCATCCTTACTGGATTTCTTATGATTGGTTTCATAGGACTAAAACTGAAACTTATTCTTCGCTGCAGCAGTCGGCTGGCTATACCCAAATGTTATTTTTACACAAAATAACAGGAGAGTAGAAATGCTGAGTGATTGCTTTGAATGTATTAATTTCCATATGTCTTGTTTACCAAGCAGGTTACCAAACAAAATATGAAGAGTATTTATCTACTCTATAGTACTATAACAAAATGCTACACACTGTGGCTTAAACAACAGAAGTTTATTTTTTCATGGTTCTAAAGGCTGGGAAGTCCAAAATTAAGGTGAAGACCAAAATTAAGGTGCCAGCAGGATTGGTATGTGGTGAGGGCTCTCTCCTTGAGGTGCAGATGGCCACCTTATCACCATGACCTTTCCTCTGTGTGAGCACATGGAGAACTTTCTCTCTTACTCTTTCTATGATCTTTTTTCTCTTCCTCTTCTTCTTTTTAATGGATGATAAAGACAGGGCTGCAGAGCTAGTCCTTAGTGTGTTAAGCAATGCCTCGTCTTCTTCTCATAAGGCCACAGTCCTATCAGATAAGGGCCCCACCCATATGACCTCATTTAACTTTAATTATTTACCAAAAACCTAATCTCCAAATACAGTCACTTTAATATTTCAACATATGAATTTGGGGGTGGCTCATAATTCGGTCCATAGCAATAAGCACAGTACCAAGAAATACAGCAAAACATATCTGTGGCCTGCTAGTTAAACAAATATTTTAGATACGTTAAATTGAAAATACTTATATTTAAAGGTCATTCATCAGATTTAGTAATGCATCAGATTTAAAGTCCAGCCATACTGGTGAGAAGGAGATGAGTGTTGAGCAGTGGCATAATTAATTTATATATGGCAGAGACACATAATTTTTACATATGTATATATCAGTGCACTAATGTTAGATTTATTTAGAGAAAACTCAGCTAGGGTTGAGCTGGAAAGGAGTGGAGAAGCCTTAATGCCTTGACTGTTGTTAATGGGTATAACAAAAATTCTCTGAGTGGGGTGGAGTGCTCTGTGAGTGGGGTACAGAGACATTAATGTGCGAGTCATTATTTTGTAGTGCTTTAGACTTTGTTGTTTGTTTTAACACTATTTGCATTAGTTTGGACATGAGTCAAAGCAGCAATGGATGTGTGAAGAAGGTTAGCAGTGTGAATCTCGACAAACTTATAAATGACTTCTCACAGATAGAAAAGGTAGGTAGCCCGGCTCATGTGGCTCACTGGTTGAGCATCAACCCCTGCACCAAGAGGTTGCCGGTTCGATTCCTGGTCAGGGCACATGCCCAAGTTGTGGGCCTGATCCCCAGTGGGGGACATGCAGGAGGTGGCCAATAGATGTTCCCTCTCATCGATATTTCTCTCTATCTCTCCCTCTCCCTTCTTCTCTCTCTAAAATCAGTAAAGAAAAAAAAGTATGTAAAAATACCAAACAGTTTGTCTAGGGAAACATGGAACAGATTTTGCCACTGGAAGGAGGTGGGAAGAAAGAAAAATGGACAGCCCCAAAATGAGCAGGGGAAAGACCCTGGAAATGTACTTCGCTAAATACTCTCATTTTAAAAACCATATTTAAATACATGGTTTTGGCTCATTTGTACTAATGCATCAAAATATTTCTGGGGCAAGGGAGTAAGTAATTGATATACTTTTGTTAAAGGGCAAATGCATACTTAAATGCTCAAGATATCCATAAATTTAGGAATGATTTAGTAAAAGTCCCTCACTCTCTTACCGTTATGACTAATTCTAAAAAAATTTTTTTTAGTCTTTCCTATTCTATCTGTTCTTTTTCCTTCTCTTTTGCCTAACCGCAGACCTAGCGGAAGTCCTCCCTCCCCAGCTCTGGACAAGTTATGTGGTAGACCAAACCCACAAGCTATGTTAGGGTTTTCTCCCTCCTCTGCCTGGGTGAGGAGCAGGAAGAGCTGGGAGAAATGTAGATATAAATTAAAGATTTGAAGGGTGGGTTTGTGAAGCAGAAAGAGGAGGGGAAACAGTACCTCTATTTTCTCTCCTTATCAGTCTTCTCTATTCTTTCTTTTCATCTGCACAGTGTGGTAATAAAAGAAATTTCATTATGATGGGTATTTTGAGGTACCATTGTGAAATTTTTAAAACAATGAGCATGGGTTTTCTTAACCAAGTGATCCTTACCAAAATAAGAGAGAGAGATTTAGCACTGTATGAGAATGGACTTGGTGCACAGTTTTTGGAGCTCATTCTATAAATATCATATTCTTAAACATCTAAAATAAGAAGTTCATTTTTTATGTGATCATGGTATTGTGACTGTGTTTTTAAGAGTATTATCTCTTAGAGATGTATGTAGATGGTAATTTTTATGGATGAAATAATATAATATCAGGGAGTTGCTTTGAGATAAAGTCAAAAGTGATGACAATAGAGAAGTGGGTATAGATGATATGAGCCTGGTCATGAATTGATAATTTCTGAAGGTGTTCAGTGGGTGCATGACAGCTATTATACTATTCACAAAGATACCAAAGACACATTCAAGAATGTTTATTTATTGTCTGCCTAGAGCAAAAAGGTAGAAACAATGCAAATTTTTCTTAATAGGGAACTAATTAAATACACTGCAGAATATGTGTAAACAAAACTCAGTGCAGCTATTAAAAAAGTGGGGTAGACCTATGTGTGCTCATATGACATCATCTCCAAGACAGTAGTACTAAGTACCACATCCAAAATACAGAACAGTTTAATATGATCCTTCCCGCCTGGCTGGTGTGGCTCACTGTTTGAGCATCGACCCATGCACCAAGAGGTCGCCAGTTTGATTCTCAGTCAGGGCACGTGCCCAGGTTGTGGGCCTGATCCTCAGTGGGGGGCATGCAGGAGGTGGCCAATTGATGTTCTCTCTCATCGATGTTTCTATCTCTCTCTCTCTCTCCCTCTCCCTTCCTCTCTCTAAAATCAATAAAGAAAAATATTTTTTTAAAAATATGATCCTTCCCAACAGTTGTATAATCATAAAATATTGTGGAAAAACATATAAGGATTTGTAACCAAAGGACTGAGGGTTGAATAGTTGGAAAGAAGGGGTTCAGGTTATATAAGAGTTAATTATTAGATATTCAGATAGTAAGTGGTTTTGTATTTTCATTAGTCTTTATATGCTTAGGTAAGAAAATCAAACTAACATTGATTTGGTAATGATTATATATATATTGTTTCTTCTACAGAAAATGATGGAAACCATTGGAAAGAACAATATACTGGATATGCAGTTAGAGAAAACGAACTGTTTATTAAAGGGAATGCAAACAAAGGAAGTCTCACTTAGAGAAGGTCAGTCCGTGGCTGCCTGAAGAAATACTAATTTGAATGAGAGTGCCTTTTTTGGGTACAATAGTGATTAATGTTGCCCCTTACATTTGTAAAATACATTAAATTCACATAGCACTTCTTAGACTATTTTATCCTTGCTATATCCCTGAAAGACAGCTAGGACTGATTATTACTCTACCTCAGTAATGAAGAAAAATAAAAGTAGTTAAATAATTTGTCTGAGGCCACTCAGCTAAGAAATAGCAAATCCAAGCATCAACTCAGGCCTTCAAAGCCATGCAAAAAATACAGTTGAATTTCTGCCTCACAATAACTCCAAAAGAAATTTCAGATGGGTCAAAATTTTTAGTGTTAAAAACGGACTGTCGCAGTCTGACGCTTTCCCTGTCTTCTGAAACCCCCACCTGCCACCTGTCGCTCCCCCATGGCCGCCCTCTTAGCTGCACCCGCACTCATTCTGTGCCTGGTGGGTGCCTGGTGGGCGCCTGGGCTCCCGGGGGAAGGCTGGGCACTGAGGATGTGGTGAAACTTTAGTTTGGGGGCAAGATTGCAAAGATAGTCACTTTTCATTATACTTGTGTTTCATGTGTATTTTATATTTGAAAAAAATAAATACTTTCAAAACATTTAATTCTGCCTCCTTTAAATCTAATGACCTTTTTGCTGGATAATACACAGCAGAAGTAAATGAACAAATAAGAATGACAATTTATAGAGTCAAGTGTGTGCTAATGCACCTAGAGAAGAACAAACTATACATATATATAATACTACTATTGAGAACCAAGTACTGTAAAAGTTATTTTCATGCAGAATTGTATTTAACATTTTCCAACTGCTTTATGAAATAGGTGTTAATATGGAAATTGCTAGTTAATGGTAGAACCTAAATTTGAGCTCAAAATAGTCATTGATTTACTTAATTATATGGTATAAGAAGTAGCTTAATAGTCTGAACTCTAGTTTTTTAAAATTGAATAGAACAGTAGTATTGTTCAAATTACATTATAAAGTTCAATGGAAATGATAATTGGATGCATGTTTACAAAGAGACGTAAAAGCCATTATGCTAAAATAATGAGCGGTGTTGTACCTTAGGAACAGTTCCTTATTGAGCCAGTTTCTTTTTAAGAAAAAGTGTGTGTGTGTGTGTGTGTGTGTGTGTCTGTGTGTGTGTGTGTGTGTGTGTGTGTGTGTGTGTTGGGAGAGCCACCTTGTGTTCAAATTGTGAAATGCACATTATCTAAATGTATACTTTCAGCTTCAGGGCTGTTTTCAATTTGCTGATGACTGAGGTGCCATATTTCATGAATTAATGTACAATGTGCCTCTAAAAGACACAAAGACAAGTGATAGCTGAGCCTGTGCCTCCTTAACTTTTTAATTATAGCAGCTAACATGCTAACATACATGAAGTAGGTATTGTCAAATGTAATTGAACAATCTACTACTGGGAAATAGCAAGAGAGAAAAAAATGGAGGATGGTGGGAACTTGGGATAGATGGTGGTAATGATGGAGGGGGTGGGGAGAAGTGTAAAACCACAAGAGTAGAATTTTTTAACTGCATAAAGTTTTTAACTTCTGCAAAAGTTACGTGGAGACTGAATGCAGGACCTCTCACTGAAAGTGAAGTTTTGATTCTTTCATTGAGTCAGTAAGTAAAAAACTATTGAACGCCTGTGAAGTAGTCACCATGTTAGATAGAAGGAATATAAAAATAAGAATGTCATCTTTACCTGAAAGAGTTTACTATCTGGTGGGAGAAACCACAAATACCTAATATGTATTGTGATGAATGAAGAAAATAGATATATACAAATTGTTCTGGGATATAAAGGGAAGAAATGATACCAACAGCAATAACAATGTTAAATATTTGTGAATGAATTTAGAAAGTATATTTTCTCATTTGGTTGTCAGAACAGTCATACATGAGAATAGCCTTTTGTATGAGGTAGGATGGGTGTTACCTAAACTTTTATTTTGCAGATGAAGAATATAAGCTTAAGTAGGGTAAGTAGCTACCCAGGATGTTATAGCTTGAAAGTGCAGAAGGGGAGACTAACCCAGTTCCTCTGACTCCGTGTTTCATGGTTGCATCAGCATGTCCTGCAGTTCCTGAGGAAGTATTAGATAAACAGATTAAGAGCACAGATTTGAAATGAGAAAAACTGGTGTTCATGTTTATACCTTCCATTTACTGACTGTGGAATCTTTTTACTTTATGTATTTCAACTTTGAGAGAATAATTCCACAATGAAAGCAAATAATCTTCAAATAAATTTATCTCTTTATGTTTTAGAATGTGCTACTCTTCATAATATGATAAAGGGGCTACAACAGACCATCGAATATCAACATAATTTGAAAGGTAAATTAGACAAAAGATAAATCTAAAACAAGACGATGTATTTGAGCACATTTAGAGATAGAGAGTTTTTACATTGTTGACAATAAGTTCTTTTTAATTTGGTCTTATTAAATGTATCAGCTAAGGGAAGGACTCCTTACTACTGAATAATATCTTCCTCAATTATTATGAAACAAATGTCATGCTGAACAGAACAATCCAGTCAAAATCTGACACAAACATCAGGGTTTTATAGTCTGTAATAATTCTCTTTATTACTTTCAGAAGTTTCAAAGCTTATTTCTTTTCAGCAGTACTCTTGGTCTTCCATAACCCATGTTCAGTTTCGAATGGGTAGATGTTTACCAGTAGTTACACAATGAACACTCTACTCAAACTGCAGTGATGTTTCCTGTTCAATTTCTCATCGTAGTCTAAGGCTGTGTGTGTAGATGAAGCTGTCATGTTCAGCTTGCCTTAATTCTGCTGGGCATGCTCCCCAGTAGGCCTGCCACTGGCCAAACGGACAGACACCAAGGGTGTTGTCATGTTCCCATGTAGCTACAGAGCAGTGTTTGTGGGTTTCCTCCACAAGACTGGAGATCAAACTAAACTGTCTTCAGGGTCCCTTCCAACATAAAACCTACACCAAACAAGAATTTCTCATCTTTGTCTTCTGCTTTTATCACAAAATACTTTACATATGTAGGTAAGATATAATAGTGATCTTATATGCTATTTATCTGATTTGGCATGTTACTCCTTATTATCTTTACACTGTTCTAATTGAGATTTATCTTTTTTTAAGAATTAATATTAATTCTTACTTTTCATTGCTTCCCCTTAAAATATTTCCTCAAGTGTTAATGAAACAAATATAGAAATTGTATTAGAAGACTTTGCACTGACATTGTCAAAAAGCAACTGCAGTATAGAAGGGTTTACTTCCATGTCAATATACCCCTGAAAGCTGTTCTGGAGACTGAGAAGGGTAATAGATCGGGAACCGTCGCTAATGCTTTTTCTGTGGACTAGTTTCTGCAGGCTTCTGGTCCCCATATATCCCGTAGATTTTCACTTTACTTGGCACTAGCATTCTGCTCATTTTTCCCAGCGTTTTTTTTTTTTTTTTTTTGGTACATGCCCTGAGTGGGAACCGAACCCAGGACTCTCTGGCCCACAGGCCGACGCTCCAACCGCTGAGCCAAACCGGCCAGGGCTTTCCCAGTGTTTTATTCCCACCCCACATTTGGTTTGGCTTTCATTTTCCAATCTCAGTGCTGATGGCTCAGAACAAACCTTCCCTTCTCTGTGACTATATACAATACTTAGCTGCATTTTAAGAGTATGTGAATGTTCATAATTATTTATAGGCTTCTTATTTTAGGATTTAGAATGGTATTTAACTATTTTCAGGATTTTGTTTAAATAAAACATCTAGCAGAAATTAAAGTCAATGTTTTGAATTTCCAGAGAGTCAGTTATAATTTAATAATGAATATATTATTTCTTTGTAAAAAGATATCAGATACTGACCAGTAGTCAAGGAGACCATCTTTGTACAGATATGGTAGTATACATTTTTAAGTAGCTCTTTCTGAAGATGGATATTCCATGGTACCTCTTTGGAAGAAATGGTGATCCACTGATTTCATGTTTCCAATGTTCTACAGGCCTTGCTGTGGGCAAAGTGATAGATGTGAACTACCTGTCTTTCCCTTCTTTCATTTCATCCATTTGACTGTCAAGATTGTAAGATTAATTTGCTTGTTTGGGCTGTGGAGTGCTTACAAATGATTACCTCCCCAGAAATAATTTCCTCTTTTTCTTCATAGAAGCCTGATTTTTCCCTGATATTCATTCTTCAATCACATAATCAGGGGAAGCTGATAACACCCCAGCTTTAAGCAAAAGCTTCTGAAATAAATCTCTCTCTCTCCCAAAAGATGGACTCAAGATGGACTATATTTTTCTGGTTGTTGACAGGCCTGCATATAATGCCCGAAATTGTTGCAGACTTCTAGCTTCCAGCCTGAGAAGTATGACAGCGTGGAGGGTAGCAGAAGAAGAGACTGAAAGGGCGTGGATTTTTAACATTATTGAGCTAGTGAATCAGTTACCCCTAGGCTTAAGTTCTTTCAGCTGCTGTGAGAGACCTGCACCTCCCTTTACTCTCATCCTTCAGTCTTTCCAGCAGGAGCTTATGGGTTGTGTAAACGATGATTCATTGAGACACAAAAAGAAAGCATGGGAATGTCTAGTAACATTTATTTTCATCTAAAAATCAAAGCAAATAATCTGATGACAGTTTAATAATAGAATATTGTCCCTCACTCTCTTTGAATGCCAGTTATACATCATTCAGGATACACAGATCTCTCCCAAGGAGAGGGGCAGTTCTAACACTGAACAGTTGCACCTTTAGTTTTCCTCTAGTCTCAGTGGATTGACATTGGTACAGCTTACAGGTGCCTGGTTTAGAGGGTTCACGGTGAACAAGCAGCTTTAAGAACTAGAACACAGACTAACAATAATGCGAGCACAAGTCAGCAAGAAGCAGGGCTGTCCCTCCACCCCTTCTTTTTTTTTTAATCCTCACCAGAGGACATTTTTTTGTTAAGATAGAGTGGGAGGGAGAGAGAGAAACATCGATGTGAAAGGGACACATCGAGTGGCTGCCACCCACACGACCCAACCAGGGCCCGGGACAAACTGCAATCGAGGTACGTGCCCTTAGCGGGAACCGAACGCAGGTCTCTCTGGACTGCAGGCCAACGCTCTAACCGCTGAGCCAGACCCGCCAGGGCCCTCCACCCCTTTTTTATTAGACATGCTAAAATGTTAAGAGTAATGAAAATCTATCACACCTGAGGGAATGTCAGCCAGTAGAGACCAAGTAAATGCTTCTGGGAGAAAACGAATCCATAGCAAAATTATTTTCAAATGGATATGTAGAAATGGTTCAATCATTATTGATTTGGAAGCTTAAAACACATCAACTTAAGTATTCTCACCTGCACGTTAAACTGGGCAACAAAATACTACAATCAAAACAGATTCTTCAGTGATCAAACAATGATTCTCAGTGATTTTGAACCTGTTTGTTAAATGTTTGCTTTAAAAAAAAAAACACAAAACATTTTGAGACTCTTAGAAGAACAAGTAAGATCAGGAAGATGGATATTTGACTTAATTTAAAAAACAATCACCTCTTCATAATTGGTGTTTGAGACTGAAAAATGAGTATCATGCTTTAGTAAGTGCAGCCAAGGATGCATTTGTGCCATTAAAACCATCTGAATGTTGAAACCAGCCCTCAAATTTCTGTATCAAAGAGTTAGGTCAACATTGTAAAAATTGTTGATGCATTTCAGTTCTATTGTCTCACTAACATTATTAGTAATAATTCAACATTTTTAGTTTTATAACAATACTTTAAATAATATTAAAATAATCTAACATTTTTCTCCTTAGTTAATCTTTTTAATGTCTACTTTTATCTGTTTTAAGAATAATATACAATATTATATATAATTTATATAATATATAAGGAGATATATTTAATGTATATATAACTTATAGATAAATAGGCATGAATTGGGGAGTACATGCTCATTATTTTTATTAAGAGGGTATGCAGTTATAAAAGTTTGGAGACTGTATTAGGTTAGAACACCACATCTGTGTGTCACAACTTTTTAGGTATTGTTACTTATGTTGGCCAGTCTATCCCCTCCTACCTTCCTACTAGTTACATATGAAAAAGTGGTTGGTCCCTCTTGCCAAGGTATTAAACAGTTTGGGGCAACAGCATTGGGGTTTCATACCTTAAGGGAAAACAAGACTTTCTCATTCTAATCAGTGATTGGATGACCAAGTTAAGTATAGTTTCCGAGATGTTGTCATTGCCAAGGACCAAAGAAGCTCTTTCTACCATTACTGCTAACCTGACACTCAAGCAATATTAATAAATAGCATCTGATATGCTGTTTATCAGGCTGGAGAGATGCAAGGGACCAGCATGCAGCTTATATAAAAGTGTTTGGTAGCCACCTGGCTGGTGTGGTTTAGTGGACTCAGCATTGGCCCCTGGACTGAGAGGTCCTGGTTCAATTCCCAGTCAGGGCACATGCCTGGGTTGTGGGCTCAATCCCCAGAAGGGGGTGTGCAGTAGCAGCCAATTGATGTTTCCCTCTCACATTGATGTTTCTCTCTCTCCCTCTTTCTCTAAAAAAAATTAAAAATATATTTTTTAAAAAGCGTTTGGTAGCCTTTGATAATATGGGCTTTTTCTTCTTGTTGCTTGATTGTCTTATTCTTTTCTCTCCTATCCTTCCCCTAAATTTGGACCTTATAACTCAAGGAATGGATCCATCCTATCTTTGAAAGAATGTGTTGAGAGTTTAGGATATGGACATGCGTCCTTAAAAATAGAGTGTGATTCATCACAATATATCAAATGATAGAAATTTTTCCTGTATTATGCCATTATATATTATTCTATATGCTAATTTAAGAGAACCCCAGTAATTCACTGTATGAAAGATAGTGATGTCATACCCTCTAACTTATGACCAGTGATTAGTACCAGGGCAAAGAAAACACGATTCAGAGGTTTTTCTTCATTAGAGAAGAATTATCACGATATAACCAGTCCCTGATTAAATGAATTTCAGGAATTTAATTTAGGAATTTAAACACACATGCAATCATGTGGAGAAAAAAGAGACCCATGAAATCAGCTAAAAATACAGAGCACTTCCAAAATCAATAGCATTTATACTTACTTTTGGCAAACTTACTTTTGACTCTAGATTATTTATTGCAAATTAATATTGCTTTTTTCCTGTCTAAACTGAATCTGAATAACTTGAATTTATCTAGGCCCTTATATTCTAATAGGGTAGGTTTTAAGGAAGACATTGTTATGTATATAGTACAACTCTACTGTACAAAATTGTACTAAGCCAAAAGATTTCATCAAAATTGATCATTGGTCAGATGTTTAAGGAAGGGCAATG